TGAATGTGTCTTTTAATCATAAAGGTACATATCTATATCTATATCTATATCTATATCTATATCTATATCTATATCTATATCTATATCATCTATATCTATCTATATCTATATCTATATCTATATCTATATCTATATCTATATATCTATATCTATATATCTATATCTATATCTATGTCTATGTCTATATCTATGTCTATATCTATATCTATGTGAAATTATAGGTGGTACTAGGTTCAGACATACAGCATTGGGCTTGTGCTTTCTGCATTGCTTCATAGCTGTGTATTTACTGTGGTTGCAGGGAAGCAGAGGACAGTTTATCACTAGACATCATCAGCCCAACTTTCACAGATGTTCATGTGCGTTACCAAGAGAATGAAAGGAAATCATTCGGCTCAGTATCCTCACCCTCAGCTGGGACCCTTGCTTATCTCGTGGAAGTGGCCGATGAAACTCTCCTTGCCAGAGTTTACTACCAAACTCAGGTAAGCTTGATATTAGCAGTGAAAAGCAAAAATGTTTTATGTGGTCAGAGAAAAAGTTCCCTTTTAAATTTTGTGTGTGTTTTTATGTTGAGCTATAAATTAGCCAACAAATAAAAACTATATTATAATTAAAGGTTTTATTTCCTACACTGGCCTTTCCAGTACTAAAAATAATATCTATGTAAAGAGGTGTTTTCAACTCCTTCACATAGTTTTTTTTTTTCCATCTCTTATGGTCAAGAAGGCACACCCACTGAAAGGGAAGAATGTACAAAGTCAGTTTTAGATAAACTACCCATCAGGTTTATTAGATAGCCATCAGGCTACTTCGAATTACTGCATAAGTGACCATTATAAGAATAAGGTGACTAGAAGAGGTCAGACTGTCTGTGAAGTGCCTTTTTTAATCCATTCATATGTTACAATACATGCTCTTATTATTGGCATACTACAATCATTTCTGAATTAAAATCTTACCTTACAAAATTATACTAATTTAGGGATCAGAAGCAGCTCATAATTCACTATTTATTATTATAAAAATGGAAAAAATATACATGTAAATATATTCTCATTTGAGGATTTATTAAGTACTCTGAGTAACTGTCTGAATTATCTCATTTATTTAAATGATTACAAAATTAAATCCTCTAATAAAAAAAATAAAAATATGCTTTTTGAATTCACTTTAATTGATTTTGGGAATGAGTAGAAGGCTCATTTTCCCAAATAATTAACCTGCCTTATGAGATATGATAGGCATTTAATACAAAGGAAAAATCTTATTTGGAGTCAGATATTAAAGGCCAGACTAAGTTGTGTTCTAGTCTTGCACTTTGAAGAAGCTTGAAGTAGCTTGGTACGAGATAATTTCTTCCAAGATAATATTTCAAGATGAGAGAAAACAGACAGCAAACAGACAGTGGACAAAAAATTGGAGAGTGCTTATCTTAATAAATTTTAAAATTAAAGATGCAATAATGAGAATGTTAAAATATGCTCATAACTAATATTGGAATTTTCTTACCCCATTTTGTATTTTCAGTCTGCTCCCCAGAACGACATTGATATACTAAAAGGTGAGATATCCCTCAAAGAACCTGACCAGATTCAGATGAAATTCAACTGGAACGAGGATGCTGCCAAAGACTTGTTGTTGGGTCTGAAAGAAAGAGTGCCTAAAATGACAAATGCAGTCTATAGGTATATTAATCGGTACCATAAGGAGCATATGGGACTGGAAATTAGTGCTGCCACCTTAAAGATGAAGAATATAATGCAGAATAATGCTGAAAAAGCATACACTTTTGCTGCAAATCAAATAGATGAAATAGATGCTCAGCTTCGCACAGCCGCCAATGAGGCCTCTGACAAATATCAGGAGCTGAAGTTCAAAGCTAAACGGCTTTATCGAAGAGCAGCAGATCAGGCTGAACTGTTTGACTATCAAAGAATAAAAGCAGAACTTTTAAATGTTTTAATTGACATAATAGAAGAGTACCACCAGAAAATAAAACACGTAATTGACTCAGCCACTGAATTCCTGAAAACTACAAAATTTCAGGTCCCTGGGTTGTCTGAAAAGTACAGTGGTGCAGAAATATACCTCATGACTACAGAGAAGGTAGCAAAAACTGCTGATGTATGCCTTTCAAAACTTCAGGAGTACTTTGATGCCTTGATCGCAGCTATCAATGAGCTGGAAGTCAGACTTCCTGCTTCTGGAACAATTCTTAGAGGCCGTAATGTACTTGATCAAATTAAAGGAATGCTGAAAGATTTGCAGAACAAAATCAGGAAGATATTTGCTACTCTTCAGGAAGCTGACTTTGCAGGAAGGCTGAAGCAACTGAAACAAGCAGTGCAACAAGTTTTTCAGAAGATGGAAGAAATGGTTAGAAGCTTGCAATCCAAAACTTTTGAAGACATCAAAGTCGAAACACAACAGCTCTACAAAGATGTAATGGCTTCAGACTTTGCCCAGAAGCTGAGATCCTTGACAAAAGATGTTAAAAAATACATTTCTCAGTTCAAAGACTTTAGCCAGAAGACATTCCAGGACCTTTCAAAAAAGCTGCACCAGTTGCTCCTCTACATAAAGTCATTGCGGGAGGAATATTTTGATTCAATTAGACTTGGATTGTCAGTGACATACTATGAGGTGGAAGACAAAGTATTGGGATGGCTGAAGAATATCATAGATCTTCTCACAGATTGGCACAACCAGTATGTTGGAGATCTTGCTGGCATTGCTACACGCCTGACAGACCAAGTAAGAGAATTGGTGGAAATCTACAGTGAGGAATATTATGGCCTTATAACTGATATTGAAGGAAAAGGAAAACAGAAGATCATGGAACTCTCATCTGCTGCTCAGGAAAAAATCCGATATTGGTCTGCAGCTGCTAAGAGGAAAATCAATGAATATAACAAGCAACTCAAAGAAAAACTCCGTGAGATCTATGGGCAGCTTAGTCAGTCCCAAGAAAAGCTAATCAGTGAAGCCAAAAGGTTAATTGATCTAACTATAGAAAATTACTCTGCTTTCCTGCAGTATCTCTCAGAGCTTCTTCGCTGGCTTGAGCAAATAACAGCTGAGAGCATAAAGCCATATGTAGCTGTTCGTCAAGGAGAGCTTAGTATACAGGTGCCCATGTGACAGGCAATCCATTTACAAAATACCCCAAAAAAGCAGACAGGCACTCTGGAATAAAGTGGAAATGACACACATACTGATTCAGCAAAGTATTGAGAAAGGCTCCAAGAAATGCAACACTTCACTAATGAACAACTTGATACTGAACAAGTGAGTCCTCAGGAGATTATGGAAAATATTCAGCAGCTCATGAACACCTGAATGGGCATGTAGAAGTAACAAGTTTCTACCAAAATGTATTTAAATATAACAGCAATCAGTATACTGGAGCTTCAGGTATATATGTTTGAATCTGAATTTGTAAATGAAAACTTGATAATCTACGCTAGGTTATTTTAATAAGCTTAATAAATGAGTTCTTTATTACATTTTTGTGTCATTCATTGCAACTATTTTTACTTGAAGCATAAGGCTTAATCCAACCATTTTCAAGGTCAATGGAAAGTTAGTCTTTCCTGTAATTTCACAATATGTTGGACCAAGTTAATAATGTGCAATGCATATTGTAAATAGTCTCAAAAGCTATGGAATACATAGAATAAACAGGTTTTAAGGTAAAGGTCACATTCATAAGCCAGTTGAAGGAAGACTTGGAAACACATCTAATTCCCAGACTCCTGATACCTTAATAGATAAGTAAGGAAAAGAGCATGTATAAAAAAATGAATTCAAAAAAATTGTAAATTCTTAAAAATGGCATCAAAAAATGAAAATTAACATAGAAATATGCAGAAACATAGAAATCTGACTCCTGGAAAATTGCAGATAATAATACAAAGGTTTTTTTCATAAAAATTAATGTATGCCTGTGTCAGTTTTCAGACAACTATGCCAAAAATTTTATATTAGTTTTCTTTCTACTGGCTAATTTATATTTCAGAAATATAGGGTTTTCTCACCTGTTTCCCCATTATATTTCTGGTTTCACTTTAAATTATCTATGTTTTACTTATTATGAGTTTAGTTAAGTGTCAAAGTTTCATGGACATCACTGTATATGATGGGAGTCAAAAAGTTTTCCCCTCTTAGGGAGAAGCCTAGACAATTTAAATGAATTCTCAGTTTAAAAGGTGAATTTAAGATGCGGAAGAAGTTCCTCACAAAATAAGACTGTTTTTAAGTGAAAAATATGTTGAGCTGCAGTGGTGTACTATATAGACAGTCCTAGAGAAATGCATTGCTCGGGCTGAAATAATGTTGCCTCTTTGAGAATAAACTTTTTGACAAACAACACTAGAAAGTTTGTGCACATGTCTGTTTTGATACAATCAGTTCACTCTGTAATATGGTTCTTGCTTGTTCATTAATGGGAAAACAGAGAATCTGTTTTTATTCCTTGGCATGACACATGAAGCAATGGAGCACCCAGATTTTGATATCCCTATTGATAGATAATATTATTACCTGAGTAACTTCATCAGTAATGATTGTCATCAGATTCTTATCAGAGTCTTATCTTTAATGCAGAAATCAGAATCTCACAAGCATGGTATTATACACACACCTACCTAGCTGTCAGCAAGTGGTTATCTCTTAGAAAGTAAGGTAAATCCATTTTCTCTTCAGAGCTTTCAGCCATCACAATTACAGCAAAAATTCTCAGAATAAGAGATAGTCTCCTGTGAACTATAAAATATGTTTTGATTCTGAATAGAACTAATCTGCATATGTTGCCCTGCCCATGGGAACCAAAGGTATAAAAATCCCTGTTTACATGTTCTACTGAGCATCCCAGTAAAAAAATGCAGGCTGCAGAGCCCTTTTACCTTCATTCACAAGAAAACTGAAGCCTATTGGTCACCTGATCTTTATTGGATGTCAGATTGCACAATTCATTTCCCTGAATTTCACAAATGTTTAAGCACAACCAGATTTCTTGGACACTGACTGATTGTTGCTTCCCTTCGTCATGACAAACAACCCTGTGAAACAAAGGACAATAGAATAAATTATAATAGTTATGGGAGAAGAGCGATTTAAAGTTTTGTTTTCATTTTCCCCCTCATGTCTACTTATTTCTGTCTATCATCCATTGTTCTTGGAAGGATTTTAAATGCTAAAAAAGGATTTCTTTATAAGGAATGGGTTAACCGAACAATAAATATGCCAAATAGTATAAATGCTGGCTCTCATTGGCAAGAGTGAAGCTTCCCAAGAGCAAGCACAATAGTTTGCACACTAAACTGTGGTTAGAGGTTAGAGGAGATTTCCAAGTCTCATAGCAGCATTGCTGCCAACTGGATTACAGTTCTCGATCCTGTAATCGATGTGCCATCTTGCAGTCATCCCACAGTTGGTCTGGGGAGGGCCTGGAAGCAGAACACTGCTCTCAAAATTGATATTACTGGAACTTATCTGTTTTGTACATCTCCACACCAGAGAAGTCATCTCAAGCACTCCTTTGAAACTCAGGCAATATTTTGCCACAGGAAGAGGTTGTTTATGATTGTGTGGGTACATCACACAAGCACATGCAACCAGGTGTCACTTTAATTTCCATTCCTTTTCCCATTGTTTGTTTGTTGTTGCTGTTTTCTTTCAGAATCTAGAAAATTTTAGCCTTATTTCCCATGTAGTAAGCTACAGAAATATAGACAAAACCACAATTATTCAAATTGTGTTTGAACTTACGAAATATTTGTAGTATAATTATTTGTAATATTATTCATTCTATATTGGCTTCTTTTAAGTCTACTTTATAAAACAGGAAATATTCTCTTTCATTAAATCAAATTGTGTGGGAGATAGCAGGGAATCAACAACTATCTAGGGCTCAGTGACACTGCTTCTTTTTTTTTTTTTTCTCTATAGTCTTCATCATCTGAATTCTCATAAATGCCAGAGGAGTTTTTCTTCATAATTTACAGCAGGTATCAGACATAGAGCAGAACTGGTTGTAAAAGTTTAATTACGTGAAACATTTTAACAAGAAATTGAAAGAACAATATGCCCTGCTCTAAGTGATTGTAGAAATAACACTGACAAGAAACGTGTGTGTTCCTAAATGAAAAACTTTCGCAGACGTAGGACAGCAAAAATGTTCCAGAATTTTAGATTATGCAACCAACTAGAGCTGATTTTTTATTAAGTGATTTAAAAGTATCCAGTATCTCTGCATATCCAGAGATTCTACTACACTTATCCACATCCACACACTGGATCTAAATTGTGCTATTGATACTTTTAGAGAAAGTGCCATTATGGCCTACTGATACCTTTCAAAATTTATATTAAAATATTTAGTTGTTCAGTAAGTGACACCAAAATTTGTACTACTCTTCTGCTGGCAGATTTATTGCCCAGGTGGGAAACCAGAATTTATTAAAGTCCATGCAGACATACAGGATTGCTCGTATTCCATTTCTACACAGCCAAATCCTGGCCCAAATGAAATCAATAGCAAAATGTCTGTTGGCCTCAGCAGGAGTAGGCTTTGGCCTACTATAGTTAGGTGTATAATTTGAGAAGCACTCTGGGATCCTGTAGGACAAAGCTATATTATTATCTATTAAAATCTACACAAAAATATCATTGAAAAAACATGCAGACAAGAAAATTAATCACTAACAAATTTGAGCCAGATCAGACTGAAGCTTGTCTGTACAACATTAACCAGAGCTTATTTACAATGTTTTACCCAGTATTACTTAGTATCACAGAGAAAACCTGTCAGGCCCAAGAATTCTAGGTTCTGGTCCCAGGCCTTAGACATGTAAATATACACATACATCTCATCACCCCTTCCCTCGTTCCATCATCCATTCAAGGCATTAAGGGAATCTGGGACCTTACAGAATAAAAACTTGTGTTGATGTTTGCAAGACCCAACTAGGCAAATTATTGAGCAACACAATCTGATTTCAATCTTGCCTCTGTTTAGAGAAGTAGGTTGTAGAGACCTCCCAAAGTCCCCTACAACTTGAATTGCTTTGTGATTCTCTTACAACTAAACTGATATGGCTTTAGGTTGCCATCTCTAAGTCTGTACCTACCCTTTGGTAAATGGTTTATGAGCAATTTGCTACATCATTATTGTAATATATCATTATACATAGACAGAAAGGTTTTGTGGTATCCCTGCATGTAAACATATCCTCATTCTGATTGAAACCATGAGGTCTACAATGGTCTAAAATTCCCTGAAGCATTCTAGCAATTGAAGCCTTCTCAGTTGGTTCTGCATCTTTCCTTTTCTATGCTTTTCATGTGAATACCTCTGCCGTACCAAACCATAGAGGCTTTCCCAACATGCAGGAACTGATGTTATGATTATTACCATTCATATTCTGACAGCATGATTGTGGTAGCTGTCAGAAGAGTACAATGCACATCTTCTCAGGGTGGCTGAAGAAGGGTCCTCTGCTAATCTGGGCATTGTCAGAGTGAGAGGATCTAGTACATAAGCAGCAGATCCATCACAAACCTGGGGAAGGTCAAATGCCTACACCACGCATCGGTTTGTGAAGAATTTGCCAGGTATTTGCTGTAAGCAGAGACCTACCACAAGTTATAGCCTCATATTGATTTCCCAGCAAATGAATTCAAGGGGACATGTTTAAAACAATCTTGAATTTATGGATAAATCTATTAATCTACACAGCCTTTGGAATTTAAGGAGCAAGTTCTAGTCTCTGAACAAGCAATACAAACTAGCTCAAACATTATATAGTATATAGGAAATAGGGCTTGGAACAACTCTCTGTTCAAGTGTCCAAGTTTCCTCTAAGAGTGAGCCAAAAGCCATACACAGCATAGGTGCCTGGGGGACCTGAGACTCGATCTGAAGCAAGGAGTGAACCAAATGCACAGCAGAGAGATCATGAAGAATCAAAATATTCACTGCATCTACCAGACAAATGGCATGGTTAGATACTTAGAGGAGGCCATTGGGATGAGTAAAGATGGTCTTAATTAAGGCCATGTATGGGGAAAAGTATCAGACCTACAACTTTTTAAGTGCTGCCTGCCACTGCTATTACGCTACTGAAAGAGGCTGGTGACTCCTGGGTTTCTGGGCAACCAGGTTATTCTTACAGGGGTAATATTCTGCTCTGGTTTCTGTGCAGCTTTGACTTTAGGATGGAAAGGAAACACTTAACCTCCATACCATACTTTTCTTTCCCCACATTTTCCCTGCTACCACTACCTCTGCTACAGTTAAAATGTATTCCAATGTTGGTGCCAATTAGAGGAAAATTGTTAACATACTTGTTAACTTGTTATTTTGATGTAGTATTCTTAATGACTACAGAACTTTATTTCTAAAAATATTGATACTGCTTTTATTCAGAACTGTTTTCTGTAGAAAGTATTTTATGAACATCTGTATTCAGTTCTACCACTGCTCTGAAAGCAGTGGTAATTGTAGTTCTCTTGGTTGCTTTCATCTGTGGAAGCACTGGAACCCTCAGAAATCTCTTTGGCTACTAACATGTTGTTTTGTCACTAGTCTCATAAACAGCCCCACACTGTGCCAACCAGTCACTCTGAAAGATTATTTGTTTCTTTCCTTCCAATACCTGTAATACTCTTAAGTTTTAAATCAGTGGCTCTACTGGCTGGAAGCAAAGATCGAAACCCAGTTATAAGATGCTATTAGGCTCCTACACTAAGGCCACCAGATCAAACTTCTTCATTTAGCAAGAAACTCCCCATTTCCTATGCATATGGAAACTCCTTTACACTTCACAATCCCATTGAGACTGCATTATATTATTCTGCTAAAAAGGAAGAAACCTGTCTCCGAGGTTCAGCATAGGTGTTAATTTAAATTATGTCAAGATTACTAACTTTGAATGTTTTGAAAGAGAAGCTGGATAAAAAAAAGCTCTCACCTCTGTGTTGCATGACACTTTGCACAGATATTTCCCATTTTTAGCAGGCTGTTTGTCCCTCCATAATACTCTTTCTCTGTTGTTACTATATTTGTTTATTTAATAAGCCTTTGTTTTTTCTCTATGGAAATTACTAGCTTATAACTACTTGCAAACAATATAGACAGTTATGGAAAAGCATTTTATTTTAAAGCTGAAGAGCAGAAAATCAGCCAAATCTGAAGGAACACACATCTTTCACACATAGCCCATATTCCAGCAGTACAAATCCCACAACATCTCTCACACAGGCACATCTGTCTATATGTGCAAACATCCATGCAAACACACACACACCTACTATGTACATTAGTGTCAAGTTAAAAGCCTAAAGTTAATCCTTAATCCTTAGGTCATCCCCTTTATTTCAGCACATCGAGCCATCCAAGCTTTCCCTACATGCCTGTCAGCAGTAAGGTGATGTAACTCTTCCCACTCAGGACCCATTAATCCAGCAGTTTCACCAGTGGTGTTCCACCAGGTTCATCTTCCAAAAATTCAATTTTTGTTTAAACAGAATATGAAAGTTACAGGTTTGGGGTCCAGCAGGGAGACAAGGAGACAACTTTCCTTTTTTTTTTTTTTTTTTAAATTTTTGCATTCTATTTCAGCTGAAATGTGCTAATGAAAACATTGCACAATTTTGTAAAGTGATACAAGCTGATCACATTCAACAATGGCCAGTTCCTCCTCCAAAAGATTTGAGCTTAAATTTTCCAATCCTTTTAGAAACACACTTTTTTGAAGAAAAATTTTGTTTATATTTTGCTAGCCCAGTAATGGCCTGGTGACTTCTTTGTGACCATGTGTATGTGTGTCATCTGGACTCTGTCATTCCTCTTCAGGTTTCCACTGAACATCAGGTTTTTTTTTGTTTTTGCAAATCTATTTGATGTATATCCCATTCCTGGCTTCACTTATAATATCTTACCCATTGAAGAGACAGGTTCTAATTTTAATAACTCAACTTTCTGTATTGGGGTTCAGTTCCTAGGCCAGTTTTTTACCCACTGCATCATTCATCCACCTCATTTTCTCATATATTAGTT